AGTGTGTAAAAACCTCAGATTTCATGTACAAAAATACGGTTCAAGGCCTTTGCATGCAGCAGAATCCTAAAATATAACTGAAGACACAAATAAAATAATGCCAGAAGTTTTCAACATTTTAAATACATTTTAGATTCTGCTGCCTTTCATTAAAGCAGCGTGAAACCCCAAAGGGTTTGAGAAACCTCAAAAAAGGTGTGGACTGCTTTTATTTAATAAAAAATAAAAGTTGTACTCATGAAATCCACCTTACTTTAAAACAGTGTAGTTTTTTCTTTCTTTACAACAAGTCATCATTTGGACCATACCCTTATGGGGTTCGTATGCTTTTGGTTGCTTGGAGAGTGTCCTACTGAGATACTTTTTCATAGCATAACTTAGAAACAATCAAATAGCAGTCTTGGTCTTCTGACTAGCTCATAAGACCAGCATTTTTTTTTTTAATTAATGTGAACAGTTAATTTTAACAACAGTCTCTTCCCCATCTTTCTGCCTCATGGTCCATACATTTTTTGCATGCATACACCTGTCTTCACAACTGCTTGTTCTCTCATTTCCTGCCCTATCAGTACATTAGACCAGGCCTGACAGCAAGATTCCAGCCTCTTGCCACAACTGAAACCCTGAAATCTGCCTGGAGAAAACCTGCTAATGTGAGGCTGCTTCTTTTTCTTTTTTCTTTTTTTTTTTTTAATGATTTCAATTCAGATCTTAAATCAGCATTTAAAAAGATGGTAAGGCTGCCAAATACTGAAGGTAGCAAACAACTCAGATTTTTCTGAAAGCATCTTGTGGCAGCTGCAAGTTCGTGTTACATTTACTTAGAACAGCAATTGCCTTTGGAAATTAGATTTTCCTGCTTGTTCAAAAGATTTGTGATGAGTAACTATAAAAATTCAAAATTTAACTCGCTAAGTGCCAGTGTTAGCAAGCAGAGGTAGAAGATGTGTCTGGTAAAAACTAAGCAGAAATGGAAATCAACCATCAGATAATGCAGGTCATTTCTTTGATAGTACCCTCCGATACCCCTCAGAGCACGTATGCTCACAGTGGTTCTAAATATCTCTAAACAGTACAGTTTGCAAACTCTTCCCCATTACAAGAGACCTCTCTCAGGAACAAGTACATCTTGCTATCCAATCTAGATTTTAATTTCGGTCTTTTCATCCTTCTTGTTATATTCCCCAGGTACTCCTCCTTATTGGTATTTTCGGTTAGTTCTTCTTTAGTCAAACCCTAAATATTTCAATTTTTCTTTCAGTGACATGACAATTTTCCACCATCCTTTCTGTAAGAAGATTTGATTTGCCAAATTATTTTGTTATTTTGGTAATAGGTCACCTAATAGATCTGGTGCCAGAAGGTGTCCATGAACCATTTGTCTTTCAATATTGTCTGTAAAAGATGAATTTTCAGACGTGGATTATTGGAACAATGAGCCAGAGGGCCCCTGGGACACAGTAACCAGCACTTGGAAGACAGAAAGGCAATCAAGGGTGGCTGGATTTCAAGGGAATGTGACAGGCATTTAAAATCAATTGATATTTTCTGTTACTGTTTGCTAGGAGTGTTTTTTCTCCTCTCACTGGCTTTTTGTTGCATTTTTTTCCTCCCATGCTGCAGCACCCACACAACACTCAGAGACTTAAGTGAAGACTGGGATGTCACTCCCTGCTCCCATGGAAAGGAGGGTAATGCATTCCAAACAGACTAAGCACTGTGCACCACTCTTCCAGGAGCAATTCCATCAAAAAAACGTATTAGCATCTTCTCCAGATGTGGCCAGACTGATTAAAGAAAACACGGTTCCTACATTTGACTCACAGAGCACTACTTAAATGGCAATGCAGTATCTGCAGCACCCTTACATTTTTCATTAGGTATCACTACGCCACACGAGATAAGTTACAGCACATCCTTACTGCAGCACCACTCATAGCCATGTAACCAGCTTAGGGCTCAGCACTGAGACATACAGACAGACCAGAGGAAGCACAAGTCCAAAGAGTGGAATGCAGCTTGCTTAATTATAGATGTCTACCATATGACATAAGTACCTGACAGCTAGGTACCAGGTACCCCTGATTGTCACTGGAGACCTAGTCAATACAGCTCGTGTAGTTTAGGGTACAATTCATTTCAACAAGGGGAGGGTGAGGCAAATTATACTCGAAACACTACCAGCACTAACAAGTGCATCTACACTAATTCACACACAGGTGTCTTCCAAAAAGTGAGGTAACACTGAATATTTTGGATTAAAAAGTAACATGCCTCACAAACGGATAAATATCAACCCCCAAAAGGTTAACACTGAAGGTAGAAGAAAATAAGACTTATCTTATTGAGACCATCTGCTGCAGCAATCAAAGCAGTTAGAATCCATTTGCTTGCAGGAGTCCATAGAGAATATCATGAACCAATTTGAGTCAAAATAAATTAGTTTATTTTGTTCTGCACGGCCAAACCCCATCCCACTTAGTTTTACCTACCTAAATAAAGAGCACAGCCTGTTCTAGGCTTTTCTCCATAAACAAAACAAAGAGAGGTTGCTCCAAAGGGACACTCAGTACCACCTAAGGTCTTATTTGTCCTTTAAATGTGTTTATCTCTTGTTAGTGACTATAAAGAAAACCAGGCTACAACCACCCTCTTGGTATATCAGCTTCAAATAGACTCCAGTGACTCTCAGTAAAGAAAGTATGAACAATTTGGGGTTCAACTTGCAGGGCTTTCCTCCCTCAAAACCCACAAATGTGACAGTTATGATAAGCAAGAAAATAGTTCACACTTACAGCAGGATTTACTGTCGTCCCATTATTGAAACCCACTCCTATTTATTCTTCCTAAGGGGTATCAACAATTGCATCTCAGGATCCCTGCTGTGAGAAGCAAATTTTTTTTCTACTGTGACACAACACCAATTCTGAACTGTACAGTATTCCAGCAGATTGTGTTCAATATTTCAGGGAGTCCAGTGCAGTGTTTTTCTCATTCATTACTAGCAATCAAGTAATTTGAAAGGAAATGAGAGATGAAGAGCTAAACATTCATTTGGAGAGAGATAATCAAAAGAATAAAAGTCTTGTCTCAGATTCTGCACATGATTTTTCAGCACTAGGGAACATATAATTGATGCATTATTGATACATCTAACTAATATCAAACTAATATCAAAAATAATATCAGAATAACAAATAATATCTAACACTAACACCAGAAATAAAATAAATTTAGACATAAATTTATCATATAAATTATATTATAAAATAACATAAATTAACTTTAGAAAGTTAATTACCAATGGAATATTACTCTGAAGAATAGGTGATATTAACCCTTTTTATAAAGCAACAAAAACCTGACAGACATGCGTTAGCTTAACATTGACAATGCAAAATACAGTATTACTGCACAATGCATGGGACATGCTATTCTAAAAGACAACTATGTATTTTGACAGATGACTGCATTATGAAATGCTGATAATACTGACATCTGAGGAACACCAATAAGGAGAGATGAATCAAATGGTATGAGTATGTTCCCTGTTGATACCACTCAAGCTGTTGATAACTCTCAAGTCCTATTCTACAGTGACAAAAATGAAACAGAAAAAGGTAAAGAAATAGAGAAATCCTTAAGTAGAAATGCCATAAGATTAATAGAAAGTGAGGCACACAAATAAAACCATGTTTTCAAGAACAAGTAAGTGGATACTCTGCAGAGTCACAGATTTAATGCCCTAATTCTAGATCACGCAACCAAACACTTCTTTCATACTCCATATCTACTTCAACCTGCTGGAGTGTTGGACCTCTGAGCAAACAGGTTTTAAAAAGATAATCTGACTAACCGACTACTGCTACTTCCAAATTAGCAGCCAAAGTGTGTTCATAACACATTCAAAACAAACAAGCCTACGCATTACCCAGAAAATTTTCCCATGTTAACAATTCCAGATTCCAAACCAAATATGGAACACCTAAACCAAAACTATGGTTATCAAAAAGTAACACTTTAAACAACTTATGCTCTATACGAAACCTAAAGTATTTTCTCAGCATATGAAAGTCATCAGGATTGCAGTCACGCAAGCACATACCCCATTTCAGTAATTTTATCCAGGATCATTCTACAAAAGCAAACTTGATCTGAGCTACCATTGTAGCTCTTAAGTTAACAGAATGGTAGCTTACTTAAGTTTTATAAGAAATTTTCTTTTTGTCAGAACTATACAGCACTTCTCCATACTACATAAGAAATATTTTGCAGGCTAAATAAAAGATATTTATATTATTTCATTAAACTATAAAAAGACTCAATTTCAAAGCTAACGGATACACCGACCCCACAATAAAACAATGCCATAGCAAATGGCATTGCAGAGATTGCTTTCCTTCATCTTTTATATTGCCACCAACATACTTCAGAATAACATATTTTATCATGGTGAAAGAATGCTCCTTGATATTTCTTTTAGTGCACCTTTCTCTAATTCATTTTTCCCTAGCACTTGAGAAAATTCTCATTTTTTCATTTAAGCAAGGCAATAGGAAGTAAGAACAACCACCTGCAAAGAATCAAACTGTGAAAGAATCAAAACTGTGCAGAATCAAAATATGAAAATAGAAAAAAATGTACTAAAAGATTGTTGTACGGCAGTTGCTTTATGCTTAGTGTGATAAAACTTGAAAGGTATGCACAATTATTTTAGCTAGCTTTGGTAATCTTGAAAGACTAGCTAAAGTCATATCACAGTTATTCACAAAAAGTTACAAAATTTAAGTTATTAGTTTTTTGTCAAATATTTTATACTAACAAGCTTAAATGCTTTCACCGAGCAGAATACAACTTTCAAGCTCTCAAATGCTGTAGTTTTAAATACCTCCTTTTCTGAAAACTCCAAGCATTCTGAAACATACTTCTAACTTCAAAAGAGGCATGGGATCCTTTTACACACAGAGAAGGGATTTTTGCAAACAGTTCCAAATCCTTACCTTTCTGTAGACTATCATATTTGGAGAACTCTCCTCTGGGTCAGCAGTTTCCGCACTACTCGGATCAGCGGGCACTTGGGCCATGTTTGCCTCCTGTCGCTCAAACTGCAAGGACAGGAGCAAAAGTCAGCATCGCTTCAGGTTGCACTGGAGCATGGCAAGGACACCTCCAAGGCAGGCAGACAGAGGGAATCACACTCCAGACTTCAACCCATGCAGGAATTTATCACACTCTGTCAGAACTGTCTTGTCTACTGGATAATGCCCCAAGAACGAGGACCACCAAGTCACATACAGCTGTGGTTTGGGTCATCACACACACATTTCTTCCCCCATTTTGATCTTTTATCATTCAGTGAAAGTCCAATTAATACTTCACACACTTCCTTTCCTTGCTATATAGCACAAGCAGCTTTGACTTTTCTAGAATCTTTGAAGTACCTGCAGACAAAAAGCCAAGAAGGATAAAGAGCTTGCTGTGATGCAGAGTAAACCCCAATGCAGCGGGGGGGGTGCAGCAGACTGTCAGTCACACTGCCGACTGTCGCCTGCAGATACTTCAAGTCATTTACGGCTCTCTGCAACCCCAGAGCAGCAGCCAGGAACCAGGGAGGCATGGCTGCTTGCTCAGAGTAAGCAGTGTCTCTCATCTCTTCTCATGACACAGCTGGGAACAGGCAGCAGGACAGGCAGACTACTGCATGTAATACTCCTTATCTTCTAAAAGCACAGAACTGCTGCCTCATCTCCTCCAGGTCAGGCCAGGCTTGAGGCAACAGCATCAGTTTGAATAAAGGAAAAAAGGGGCCTGGTGCAGGGAAGGCACTTCAAATTCTAAGTCAAATGTTATATTTTAAATTTTATTTCCACCAGAATATTTGACAAGTTCCATCTCAAATTAAAGGCTACTGTGGAGCTGTTTGGTGACCTCTTCTAACCTTAGAAGTAACATTGCCTCGTACAGACACTGGCACTAAAACTGCCTGACAAGTTCAATTTCTTTAACACTGAAAGTACTGAAACGTCCCATCTCAACATATTTTATTAAAAACTAATACAAAAAAAGCACCTATGTTCACACAACCATAATCTACACATTCATTTCTAAAACACAGTTCACCACTAAACTGTCTCTCTTACTTATGGAAGGTACTTTCCTATTCCTTCCTCCACCCACTTTCACATTGCCACAGGCAACAAAGTGCCCCAGTATATAATACACATACATAGCATACAATTATATGTATAGTACAGCCCTGAGCCATTCTAGCTGTCAGTTATCAGCTCCCAAGGACAAGTCAAGAGCCAGAATCAGAAAAGCTCAGACTGCATCCCAGCTCTGTCCTATCTCCACAGTGAAAATGCTACAGTTGTAATGTGGCATTCTCCACTGAAGCCACAGTAGCTGAGATACCCCTTTAAGCAAGACATAAAAGACACCAAAGTTTAATAATCTACATCAATCCAGATTCCTTCATTTCCTGTATAAAGTACGAGTGCACACATACACACACGAGCGGGCACAAATGCATTTGTACATGCACATACCAATTTTGAAATTCAGTAATACAGTTCAAGTTCAAATTAAATAATATATATACAAATCACCTTTTCAAGGCATATTCAGACCAATTTAGATGCTGTTTTATATTTAAAGGAAATAAATTTATTTTTACCCCTATTAAACCTCATGGCTTTCTAGAAGCCCAAACACTATACTGTTGTGCCAGGTCATGAGCTAAAAAGGAAACATAATAAAGTCTCTAAGCAAGGTTATTAGATGCAAAAACAATCAAATAGCACGAACGTTGAAGCGTAAAGCATTTTCAAATTATAGCACTTTGAATTATTTACACTAATGTGCATTTTCACAACACTGCTTAGTCATGATTTCAAGACACTGAAGAATTAGGCTCGAGGTTATCATCACTCAATTGAATGGATCAGGAACAGGGTAGAGATTTTATGTAACTTTTTTAAGGCAATTACAAAGCAGAGTTGAAAGCGTATGTCAAGTCACCCAAGTTTCAGCTTCACCTGCAATATATAAAGACCACATTCACCGCTTACATTATATGTGAGATTTTATAAGCATACTTTAAAAGAAAACAATTACAATTAACTTTCAATTGAGCAATGATCTTTAAAGAACAAAATTACAATTTCTAATCGAAAAGCCCTCTGCAGCATTACTTAGCTGTGCTTCACTCACTGCATTATTCACTTTGAACGTCCACATTTACAAATTCTGTTCTCTTGTTATACTGTCAGCTTACTTGATCTTTTCTGATACTTCAGGATTTTCCCCCATAGCAATTCTTGAAGCTTTTCATCTACTCTAGTGCAACAAGACAATAACATCTTGTACAAGTGCAGTAGTAGCTTGCATGCTGTTCATGGTGACATTGAAGGAGCCACTGATTGTCTTTGAAGGTTTACATAAGGTAATCAATACAAATGGACCAACCTGTTGTTGGAAGATAGAAATTTGCAAAAGTGATTCCCACTAGTGCCCAGCATCTCCTACTGGATTTCAGACAGGAGCAGCAGGAGCTGCTTTGCAGGAGTGACAGCAAGATGGACATCTCAGAGAACAAGGCTGGAGACAAGGTAGGACTGAGGTGCACCTTGGAGCAGAGACAAGTGTGGACAATCCCTCCACACAGCCCAGGCATTGCTGCTGCTGAGATGGGCCTTAGCAGGCCAAGCCAGGGCCTTTCAGGAATTGTGACGGCTCTGACCATTGTCCAAGTTTTTTTCTCTTTCTTATAGATTTGTTTTTTTTTTTTAAAAAAAAAAAAACAAACAAAACCACATAATCATTTCTCAGATGGTATTCTACAGGAAAAAAAGACTACAGATAAAATAAGACAGTGATATGACAAGGGCATGTTCTTGGCTCTTCAAGGTGAAAGCACAGCAATGCTGGGTCCCAGGGATCCCATTACACCTGTGCCTTTTAACATACGGGAGTTGAGTGGAGCTCAGCATCCAGTGATGCAGGACTGCTTCACACAACTGCAGAATGGTTGGTGTTGGAAGAGAGTATTTGAGGTCATCTAGTCCAACGTCCTGGCTCAAGCAGGGTCCCCTAGAGCACATTACTCACAACTGTGTACAGATGGCTTCTGAGTATCTCCAGAAAAGGAGACTCCACAACTGCTCTAGGCAACTGTTCCAGTACATAGTCACCTACATAACAAAGAAGTTCTTCCTCATATTCAGGTAGAATTTCCTGTGGTTCAGCTTCTACCCATTGCCTCTTGTCCCACTGCTTGGCACCACAGAGAAGAGCCTGGCTCTGTCCTTGTGACACCTTCCCTTCAGATACTTATACATTGATGAGATCTCCCCTCCAAAGTCATCTCTTTTTGAGACTGAACAGGCCCAGCTCCTTTAGCCTTTCCTCTAAGACTGATGATCCAGTCCCGTAATCATCTTCGTAGCCCTTCGCTGGACTTGCTCCAGAAGCTCCACATCTCTTGTATGAGGAGACCAGAACTGGACACAGGACCCCAGATGTGGCCTCACCAGGGGTGAATACAGTGGCAGGATCACATCCCTTGACCCGCTGGCAATGCTCTTCCTAATGCAGCCCAGGATTCCATTGGCCTTCTTGGCCACAGTGCTGGCTCATAGACAGCTTGTTGTCCACCAGGACCCTCAGGTCCTTCTCCACAGCACTGCTCTCCAGCAGGTCAGATCCCAGCCTGTACTGGTGCATGGGGTTATTCTTCCCCAGGAGCAGGACCCCACACTTTGTTGAATTTCAAAAGGTTCCTCTCTCCCCATCCCTCCAACAAGTTGAGATCTTTCTGCAGAGCTACACAGCATTCTGGGGAATCAGCCACTCCTCCCAGTTTTGCATCATCAGCGAATTTGCTGGAGGCACTCTGTCCTTTCATCCAAGTCATTGATGAGTAAGTTAAACAATACTGGGCCCAGTACTGATCCTTGGGGGACACCACTAGTGACAGGCTTCCAATCAGACTGTGCCAGTGATCACAATTCCCTGAGACCTGCCATTCAGCCAGTTCTTAAACCACCTCACTGTCCACACGCCCAGTCCACACTTCCTGAGCTTGCCTGTGAGAATGTCATGGGAGACAGCGTCAAAAGCCTTACTGAAGTCCAGGTAGACAACATCCACTCCTCTCCCCTCACTTGTCCAGACAGTTGTCCCATTGTAGAAGGCAATCAGGTTGGTTAAGCATTATTTCCCTTTGGTGAATCCATGCTGACTATTCTAGATCACCTTCTTGTCTTCCACATGCTTAGAGATGGCCTCCAAGTTAAGCCATTTTACCACTTTTGTGGGGACTGAGGTGAAGCTGACTGGCCTGTAGTTCCCTGGGTCCTCCTTCTTGCCCTTTTTGAAGACTGGGGTGACATTTGCTTTCTCCCAGTCCTTGGACACTTCTCTTGACTGCCATGACATTTCAAACATGATTGAGAGTGGTCTAGCAATGCTATCTGCCAGTTTCCTCAACACTCATGTGTGCATCCCATCAGGGCCCACAGACTTGTGGATGTCAAGTTGGACTAAATGGTCTCTAAACCAATCCTCCTCAGTCAAGGGAAAGTCTTCCTTCCTCCACACCTTCTCCCTAGGGTTGGTGATTCACCAGTCTTGAGTGTGGAGGAAGTGATCCTTGAATACTGGTCATCTCTCTTGGACCCCTCTTCCCATTAGCACATTCCAACAGGATTCTTCCAAGAAGGCCCCTGAAGAGGCCAAAATTAGCTCCCCTAAAGTCCAGAGCTGCAATCTTACTCATTGTTCTGCTTCCTCCTAGCAGGATACTGAACTCCACAATTTTGTGGTCACTACAGCCAAGGTTGCCCAAAATCTTCACATCTCCAACCAGACTTTCCTTCTTAGTTAGTATAAGGTCCAACAGCACACCTTTCCTCATTGGTTCTTCCACAACCTGTATCAGAAAGCTACAGTCAATGCTTTCCAAGAACCTCCTGGATTGCTTTCCTGTACTCCTGCCATACTAAAGTCTGATCTCAAGCCAATTCTCAAATGGGGCATTCTCACTAGCCTGAGGATTGTGGCACTGACTTAACACCCAATGAACACAAACAAACCACTGGCTACA